CACATTTCTCTGGAACCCTTCCAATAGCAACTGTGTTCTGTAGTGACCTAAAGCGATCCCTTGTCGTCTTGCCTCAGCCCGGTCGTTCATCCGTTGTTGGATTTCTGRACGGCTGATGTCGGCTTTGATTGCTGCTTTAAGTGAACTAATTGCTTGTTCAACAATGTTTAGGAACGGGCTGTATGGAGGCAGTTTCCTGAGTTCAGTGTTCGGGGCGGGAATGGCGGCATTATGATGAGCCGGTGCACCATCATAGATAAAGATGACGTGTTCATCTGGATCTAGATTAAGTCGTGCTTGTACAAGGAAGTCTGAAAACCTTTGTGCGTTCATCCCCCCTATAATTGAAGAGTGGAAAACGAGRCCCATTGTCGGTGAAATTGCGAGGGCGATCGTCACATTTCTTCCTCTTTGACCGCAAACTTGCCTGTAAGCTCTCTCTCCTCTTCTGGCCCTTCCTTGGTTTCTTGACGTCCAAATGTTGTACCCGCATTCATCGACAAAAACACTATGGTGTACAACTGCGTGGCCCATAAACCAGTTTGCGTAGTCAACACGTTTCTGTATGACATCTGGCCGGTTTCTCTCTGCTGGAAGAGGTCTAGCAAGTTTCACTCTATACAACATCCCTTCAAGAGTCCTTGCCACTGTACGGGCGCATATCCTAGGTTTTCCAGGAAGGCGTTGCCTTAGTTCTTGGTTTATCTGCGCCAGTGTCAACAGGCAGTTTTCATTKATGATGTCATTAAGACAATCTTTCATAGTATCGTCAACACTGACATGGTTTCGACCTCCACGTGGTCTTTCTGCAATTCTTCCTTCTCTTATATATCTTGACACGATGCCTCTTGCTGTCGATCTGTTGACTCCTATCGTGTCTGCAACCATTAAGTAGTCCTCGTTATCATCTTCAAAAGCCCTTACAATTCTTTCACGCTGTTCTAACAGTATTCGATTTCTTCGGGGTGGCATAGTACACAGCCCTCTAACGCACTTTCTACGTTTCTGAGGCGGCTACGGCATTGACCGATCGGCTTTTATATTCTGCTTTGGATCGATTATGTTTTTTTAAAGAATGCATAGAAATGTAAACTATGATGTAACCTATYTTGTTCCATTTTTTTGGAGGACTATTTATATGTTTTAAAGTGATAAAAAAGAACATCGCTAATGATTCTAATGATTGCTTTATTTCTCTTATTGTTCATTTGAATCATGCAAATGTTTGTCGAACCACGCTATAGAATATAACATTGACCCTCATGATTGTCCAAACGCGTTATAGATTGTCAATGGTTATGCTAATAGCACTAATGAATTTTCACTTTTGGGTAAATGATTGTCCATAAATGCAATTGTTTGTCATTTGGTGTTATTGAAATTTAATTTCGCGCACAAGAAAATACATTCCGCGCATATGAATGTACGAACGCGCTATTGATTGTCCAATGATGCCCATGAATGTACACGCATATTCAAATATCGTTATTGAAAG